GGGATCGGGCTGGTAAGGCAGAGCTGCCAGATGGACCTGGCATGGAAGCATGGTGGCACGGCAACTCCATAGCCCCCCAGGTCAATACAGAGTGTTTAGGGAGCAGGGGGGACACAACCCTTCTCCCCAGTATCACAGACCCCTCCCCAAACCACAAGGCCAAGGGCTCTGTACCATAGCTGTGGGCCATTTTAGAATCATAGAATCATAGAATGTTTAGGGTTGGAAGGGACCACTAGTGGTCATCTAGTCCAACCCCCCTGCAGTGAGCAGGGACACTGCTAACTAGATCAGGTTGCTCAGAGCCCCATCCAACCTGGCCTTGAATGTTTCCAGGGATGGGGCCTCCACTACCTCTCTGGGCAACCTGTTCCAGTGTTTTACCACCCTCATTGTAAAGAATTTCTTCCTTACCTCTAGCCTGAACCTACCCTGTTCTAGTTTAAAACCATTTCCCCTTGTCCTAACACAGCTGGCCCTACTAAAAAGACGTTCCCCATCTTTCCTATAGGCCCCCTTTAGGTACTGGAAGGCCGCAATCAGGTCTCCCCGTAGCCTTCTTTTCTCCATGTAGCCTGAGAGCTGAGAGTCCTAGATTTCCACCCAAGGAGGTCACACCAGGAAAGGAGATGGAGCAGTTACATTCACTTGCCTCATTTTTCAAGAGAAGTAGTAGTAGTAGATGTCAGAATTAAAAAAGGAATAGCAAACAAGTCTAGAGGTGCAAAAGGGGTAAAAAAAAAAAAAAAATATATATATATATATAAAAAATAGAGATACAGATATGTGTTCCCTCTGTCATGCCAGGCTCCCTAACCTAACCCTAACTCACCACCCCTGCAAGCTTTCCTCCTGTCCGAGCAGGTCCTCCCAGAAGCTGGTGGGCCAGAGCCCTGTTCTAGACGAGGGCTCAGCAGGGCTTTAGGCAATGGTATTTATATCTCCCTCTGTTGAGTCAAAATCTCGTTTGATATATCCTAGGAATGTATTTGCCCTTTTCAGAGCCTCATCATAATGATGACTCACAGGATACATCTTTGATATCAACCTATTAAAAGAAAAAAAAAAAAAAAAAAGAAAATAAAAAAGTTCCTCTGGCTGCTTTGTGACTATTTGGTTAAAAGAAAAGTTATCAGCCAACACATCCAGGACAGAGGATTACTGCTATTCTCCAGTCTGTATGTACAGAGCTAAAGTTCACCATGACCGTACAGTGCGTGGTCATACCCTTCATCTGCTGCTATTACAGACAGCTCTGCCAACAACCAAACCCCACCCCCTCAGGCAGCAGCGCTTCCCAGCACTGCCGATGTGTACGTACGTTTCCAAGTGACTGAGAAGATGGATGCAGACAGGCCAGCACCATCCCAAAAGCCTTGCCTCGACAGCCCACCACCTTGAACTCTTTCACGTGCCCCAGGCTGGCCAGCTTCATGTGCTGAAGACGTTTGAACTGCTCCATTTTATTGTTCCGGTATTTTTATCTGTTGTTCCTGGTTTGGCATCCTTCCTGCAAACACACCTTTCTCTAACAGGTGAGAGCAGATGCAGGTGTACAGGCAACCAGTCCCAGTAAGATGCTCCAAGATCCAGTAAAATGGGTCCTTCCCTTTACTCTGTTGGGCTTTAGATAATGCCAAAAATTTAGTTGTACCACCTTCATGGGCAGGCCTAAGAGTCCCCAAGAGCACTGCATGTTCCTGAGCCTGCCTGTGGGTCTGACTGGCAACCTGCACACTACCTTCTACGAATTCTCATCAGCAAGCCTTAGAGATCCTGTCTGAGCCTGCTGGCAGCTTCCCAACCACTGCCTCATCATATTAATGACAAACTAATAGTCTAATTGGGCTAAGGCCTGCATGGTCTTTCCAGTCCCTTGATGTAATGACTAAAAGCACTCTCCTGCAAGATTCTTCTCCCCCTTTTTCATCTAGGAAGGATAAAGTGAATCTCAAGTGTACTTGAAGAGCCTTTGTAACTCTGCAGGAAACCAGTTGAGATCTTATGGGCCCTAACAAAGAAAGAGTACTCCTAGCATTCCTCTAACAGGGTGGGGATTTATCAATATATGGATAAGGTAAATTGAGTTTATGAGAAGCAGAATTCTCCAAGGGTACTTTCAGCAGATTTCAGAATACTACTATTTTGAAGTAGCGGTACCTTTACAAGGAGGAAGAGAATTACTCCTACAGGAGACGACAATATGGGTATACAAATAATGTCTTCCGTATCTTTTTTCAGGAAGCAGCTACATTTCTCACCTCTTACTCAGAACAACCCTCTCTGCAAGTTGAAAAATCACACATCCGAGAAACAGATTAAATAGTCTGTGTTCAAGAAGAAAGACATTAAAAGTGTTGAAAACTGAGCGTTTATCTCCTGGCCAGCTGCTGGAGCAAGAGAAATGATGTTTAGCGCTCTGTCTCAAATCCAGAGATAAAAGTGTTTCCTCCAGTTGGCCAGTCCCATGATCCTCAGTCCTGTTCGTACTCTTCACTTGCACACACACACAAGCACCTTCTGCAGTTGTGAATGAAAAGCACAATTGCACACACAGGCATTTCCATAACACTTGCTGAAAATGGGATAATTGAAGCCTTTGATGCAGGAAAAAAATATCCCAGTTATTATCAGGTTGATTTTCTAGCACAAACTTTTTCATCCTTGACCGTGGAAGAGAGGGCTTTTTGTCAGCAGCTGGTACTGCAGACAGCCAAGCATGCTGCCTGCACAGCTTCTTAGCTCCTGGCCTCCAGAAGCTAAACATAAGCCTTGAGTTTTCTTTTCCCCCACCCTTCTCTACAAATTATGGCTGTAAAACATAGCTAACTGGTACCTCTGTGAAATTATATCTTTGGTACTCTCTGGTCACATTTGCTTAACACTACCCTGTTTCCAAGTATCTTCTTGTACTATGACCTGAAGTGTGAAAGACCTTCACTTGGGATCACACTATACCACACTGGCAATAATATACAAAAATATGAAAAACAGCCAGAGATGCCTGAAAAGATCATCTGTGATAAACACAGCCATTTGCCTTTATGTCAAGCCCACATCAAAAGTGGCCTCTAGAGTTTTTGCAGAGGCATCACCACTGTGAAGTGAGATCAGGCCATGCCTTGGGACAGCAAGTGTGTCACAAGCTCCTGAAAGGAACCAAAGAGCGGCCTTGCTCAGGCAGCACCGAGGCTGGGAGTTCAGGTCTCCCAGTTCACAGGGCTGAGAGGATGATAGAGACTGTCACAAATCAAAACCAGGCATTTTAATCACTGCATCAAGCAACAGTGCTGCTTTTGGCATTCTCAGTGTAACCTGCACAGAGCTGTAATGGGAGCAAATAACAGGTCCCAGGGTACCAGCCTAAATGTCTTATGGAAGTAGTTGTTGATTCGTCTATAAGCAAAGTCTCATGGGAGTTTCCCTTGTGAAAGTTGATGCATTTTAGAAAGCACAAAAGGAAGTGTCCCCAAAAAGACCTATCTTTCAGCCATTGTAAGTATTTTTTAAAAAAGCTAGTATTTCCACTGCATCACGTATTTCTCAAGCTTAAGATCCAAATAGGAAATGCAATTCTAAAATAGAAAAAGTACCAAAATCTTGGGAACCACAACTTAAAACAACTTTTTATTTAAACAGCTCAGTCCAGAATCAGTTTCTTACAAAAGCAGAACAAAAGTCTGCACATGTTCTCCTCTCCTCAGTCATCTGTGGAAATCAGTCTCAGGTCTTGAAGAAAACACACACACACTCCCTTCCTGAGCAGCCAGGCTTAATCCCTGGCAGTCAGCACAAGCTTCACCCTCCACTGAGACAAGAAGCACGTGCCATGGAGCAGGTCCTAAGCTTTAGCAGATGAGGCCAGGGATCAGCATGCTCAGGCAGGCATGTGCCTAACAGGCAATACACACCTCCTGGCAGACAGTTACACTACTTAGTTTCAAGGTACTGACTGCTCTGCACACAGAAATCTGGGGTTCTCCCTCCTCTCCCCCACCTCCACAAAACATCGAGATCTGTCTGGATTTTTTCTCCTCACTGCCAAACTGAATACCAGAGAGCCAGTTTCTGAGTGACCCAAGTAAGGGCCAAATTTTGCCAGTGAACTGACTCCTATAAACACAGACTAAAATTCTTGGAGATGGAAGACCGATTGTTAAAAGCACTCGGCAGCTGCTGAGACATTAGTTTTCACAACAGTTCTGCCTTGTGGACAGACAA